ATGTATATAATACTTTTGTGTATAAGTGCACTAATGCATCAAATACATAAATTATTACTCATAATTTCTAGAATAAACTTTAGTGTAGGATAAACTTTATACCTCTGCTACCACCTTCTGATTTCTCATGCTTTAGTGCTAAGTATGCATGTGTTTCAATATTTGTATATATACACACACACATATATATATATATATATATATATATATATATCTATACAAATAAATATATTATATGTATTCACATATGATGCACTTTTGTCAGTGTTGTTTAAAATAGCATGTAACTATTCTGTACCTTCATGCAAGTATTGCAAGTATGCAAATATTTGAGAAAATCTGTCTGAAAGTATATAATTTTTTGTTTATACTTATTTTGGTACGTTATTAATCTAGTTTTGTTATATGAAATATGCATTTTTGCACATATCTTATCAAATTCACCAGAACTGGATAACCGATTCTACTATGAATAGTGCGATTAAGCATCCCCATACATAAGGCAATTTATCAGGAATATGAAAGTTCAGGAATATCGAATTAAATTAACAAAAAGTACAATGACATTAACATCCAATTATTGCTAACCTATTTTCTATATATTTTTACTATAAGATCGATAAAAAATTAATCGATTTTCTCACTTCATTTATTATTATATTCAAAGTGCGCTAATTAAAATAGCATCAAACTTACTATTTACAATCACTATATAAATTCTTATTGCATTTATTTCATCACCGAGTGTAATAAACGAGAATTATACTGCCATGTACAAGGTTCTTGGAAATATTTACTTACTATACATAAAAATGTAATAAAATCGATGAAATTGGAATGCATAAAAGTTGTGGGAAATCGATCGATGATCAATGAAACTGAAAGTAATGAAATATTTTAATACGTGCAAATTAGTTAAACGGATGGTATATTTAGTTGTTGGTGGTTTGCTGTTTGTTAAATTTATACCTACCTTATATTCAAATTTGTTTTGGGTTCAAATGTGACTTCACGTAGGTGTACATCTGTTCGAAGACCCGTACTCCAAATAGAGCAAGCGCGGTGAAATTACAAGCAATTAACCAGATCGGTCTGAGGTCAATACGAGCGGGGGTCAATCTTGACCTTCCACGATCCCAGATCTCTCAGATGGGCCATGTAG